TCCCTAGGTCAAAGGTAGTGATAAACATATTAATAATTTGAAAAAGAAATGTCAGAAGGAATCAGAACAGAACCGGGAGAAGCAGCAACGTATTGAGACCTTAGAGCGCTACCTGGCTGACCTGCCCACCCTAGAAGACCATCAGAAGCAGAGCCAGCAGGTAGCAGCAATGTCTGAGCATTCCCGGGGTGAGCAGGGGATGCCCAAGCATGGGAACTTTCTCATCATGTGCTGTGTGCACTTACTCCGTGGCTTCCTGAAAAGAAAATTCTTAGATTCAGGTCCTGGTTCACATCTGTGAAATTTGCAATTTTTTTGAGGTATGCATGCAGGCAGAGTGTTTTTGGCTTACTAATAACCTAAGCATGATCCTACCTCTCAGCTTAAGGATTCTGAACTGAAGAACACAGAGCTGCAAGAGAGAGTGACAGAGCTGGAGAGTTTGCTGGAGGAGACCCAGGCAACCTGCAGAGAGAAGGAGGTTCAGCTGGAAAACCTGAGACAGAGAGAAGCAGAATTTTCCTCCACCAGACACAGGTAAATCCCCCTGAACTATTGAGGGAGGGAATGGAGAACTAGGTTCTGATCTTAGCCACCCAACTCACCTACCTGTATGACTTTGGGTGTTTTGGACAAATTATATTTGTTCTCTGAGCTTCATTTTCTTTGGATTATGAAAAATAGGAAAGTTGCTTATTGGCTGGGACCATGTCTTTGGAATGGAGTGGGGGGCTGAGGGGTAGCAATGCAGTGGGTACTTTTCACTGTATCTTTGGGAGGCATCTAACCCAGTGCCTCGCACATGCTAATCCTTGAGTATGTGTGTGGTCAATGAATGAAAGCAGCACTTTTTCTTTTCTTTTTCTTTTTCTTTTTCTTTTTTTTTGAGAGATTTTCACTTTTCGCTATAGGGCGCGTGCACTCGCCAGACAGACAGAGACAGAGAGACAGAAAGCAAGAAATCACTCCCCAGGGGGAATGGCCACGCCGCAATCCCTTCTCCTCTATTCTCCTCTTGGGATCTTGGGCACGCACGCACACGCGCCCGGCGTGAGTTTTAAGCCACCGGAGCTGGGACGCGAACCACGGTTGGCTACATGGGAGTCCAGTGACATAGCCATTACGCTAACTACTGATTCCTGAAAGCAGCACTTTATAAACTGGAAAATGAGGGATCTGTATTTTCAAAAGTGAACCCTCGGGAGCAGCAGATGGCATAATGGCTACGTCGCTGGACTCCCATGTAGTAGACCGTGGTTCGAATCCCAGACCTGGTAGCTTTTACTCATGGTGGGTGCATGTGCGTACATGCCCAAGATCCCAGGAGGAGAATGGAGGAGAAGGGATTGCGGTGTGGCTATCCCCCCTGGGGGGTTGATTTCTCGCTCTCTGTCTCTGCCTTTCTGGCGAGTGCCCGTGCCCTATAACAAAAACCTCTCCGGTAAAAAAAAAAGTGAACCCTCGTGGTAAGGACTGAGTTATGCACATTTTGAACCTTGTAAGCTAAAGGCTACCAGGAGCATCTGTTTCTCCTCGCCCTAGAGATTGCTCTTGATTGCCACAACACATTCTGGGAACAAAACAAGATGTCATTATATACTCTTGGCGTGTCTTGGGAGCCTCCTCCATATTAATAGCAGTTTCTGAAAATGTGATGACTGTGTTTCAACTGCCTCTTGGACCAAATCCAGTTTCTAATGGGAGAGGTTGGATTTTTTTTTTTTTTTTTTGAGAGTTTTTGCTATAGGGTGCGTGCGCTCACCAGAAAGACAGAGAGAGACAGAGAGACAGAAAGCGAGAAATCACCACCCAGCGGGGATGGCCACGCCACAATCCCTTCTCCTCCATTCTCCTCTCGGGATCTTCGTCACGCACACACACCCGCCTGGCATGAGTTTAAGCTGCCGGGTCTGGGACTCAAACGCGGTCGACTATGTGGGAGTCCAGCAACATAGCCATTATGCTAACTGCTGGTCCCAGGAGAGGTTGGATTTCTTACCCTATATTCAGCTATGGGGATCCTGTTTATCTCAGCAGATGTGCCATGCTGGAAGTGATTGTGGAGGACCACCGGAGGAGACCACTAGTGGGGTCAGAGCAGGGATAGGGAACAGAGTTGGCTCTGTCCCAGACTGTATGTGCCAAGAAAAGAGGAACTCTTTTGTATTATCCAGAATATACATGTATGACTTTTATTTTTTTATTATTTTATTACTTTTTAATTTAATTTATTCATTCATTTCTTTTTTAAAAAAATTGACCAGAGAGAGAGAGAGAGAGAGAGGGAAAGTGAAAAAGCAAGCCACCAGGTCCAGGACTCAAACCATAATCGGCCATGTGGGAGTATCCAGCATCTTAGCACTACGCCACCTGCTGGTCCCCCGTGTAAGATGTTTATAATCTAAATGTATGAGGTCATCGGAAAAGTCATAACATATTTTTCTATGCAAATATGCGTCATGGCTTTTCTGATGACCCAATATGTGATGGATGTTTACTTTAAAAAAATTTTTTTTTAACAATTTTTTATTTATTTATTACTTCATTTATTTTAATTTGACCAGAGAGAGAGACACACAGAGAGAGAGAAGAAAGCAAGAAAGCAAGCCGCCAGGCCAGGGACTTGAACCGTGGTCAGCCATGTGGGAGTGTCCAGCACCTTAACAACCACGCCACCTGCTGGTCCCTGTGATGTTTATTTTTTAAACATCAGAATGAAGAGAACAAGAGCCTTGGGCAAGTAGAGGATTGGTGGCACACTGTACGGCTCTGGTCCCTAGTGGAGAGCACTAGCATGCACTGAACATCCTCTCCGCCACACTCCTCACCGCAAGACACTTTCGACATCACCCCAGCTGTGGCTTGGCAGGGCCAACATACAGTAAATACTAAACTCAGGTGTCAAAGCCATCTCTCTGACTTTGAAGTTCTTAAAGAGGAACTGTCTTTCAGCATGCAAGATAAACAGTCTGTGGAGGAAGCCGGTGGAGAAGATCAAAAACTGGAAATGGAGTTCTGGCAGAAGGAATGTGATTCTCTGCAAAAGGTGACTGAGGGCAGGCATTCTGGCTGCCATAGGGGTAGACTGGGAAGAAGGAGGAGATATGTACTGGGGAGCTTTTGGGCCACCCCGGATCTGCTGCTGAGAGCTTTTCTCCCTTTTCTGGGAAGTTGCCCCTCATATTGGGTCGTTGGAAAAGTCGTGACATGTTCTTCTGCACAAAAATGCATCATGACTTGGGAACCAGCAGTTAGCGTAATGGCTGTGTCACTGGACTCCCACGTAGTCGACCGTGGTTCACGTCCCGGACCTGGTGGCTTAAAACTCACGCCGGGTGCGTGTGCGTGTGTGCCCAAGATCCCGAGAGGGGAATGGAGGAGAAGGGACTGCGGCGTGACCATCCACCCTGGGGGGTGATTTCTCGCTTTCTGTCTCTGTCTGTCTCTGTCTGTCTGGTGAGCACACACGCCCTATAGCCAAAATCTCTTCAAAAAAAAAAATGCATCATGACTTTTCTGATGACCCAGTAGTTTGCATTTTAGATATTCATCCTATGAAAAGAAAACTTCCCTTGGCTAGAATGCAGGCTGCAGTGAGAGGGCACCATGCCTCTGAACATGCAGGCTAGAAAACACAGAATGTGCACTGAATCTTTTTTTTTTTTTTTTTTTTTTTAGGGTTTTTTTTTTTGTGCATGTGTTTTGCTTTGGGTGCATGTGCTTGCCAGAGAGAGAGAGAGTGTCAGACAGACAGACTCAGTGAGAAGGAAAGTGAGAAATCACCCCCCAGGGAGGATGGCCACACCTTCTTCATTTTCCTCCCGGGATCTTGGGCACACATGCACATGCACCCGGTGTGTTTCAAGCCACCACCAGGTCCAGGACTCGAACCACAGTCAGCCATGTGGGAGTCTAGTGACATAGCTGCTACATCATCTGCTGGCCCCAAGTGCACTGAATTTTAGTCCCTATCATTCATGGAACTGCTTATAATGGGCAGAGTTCTGACCATGAGGTAGACTGATTTTTCACTTCAGCAGAGAAGAGGGAGCCAGGGGCCTGCTGGTAAGGCTGACTAGGTTAGCAAAAAGAAAAACCCAGAAATGGTTCATAGAATACCTGAGGTCTGATAGGACAAGAGACCAGACCTGCTTAGGATCTCTCCTTGGATAGTCATTGTCACCAAAGCCATGAGTTACAGCAACTATTATAAGTCCTGGACAGAGCAGCCTTCATTAACTGAATTTTCAGCCATATTCTTTACCAAAGAACCAGAATGTGCACCAGTTACAAATAAAATTTATTTCATTGGCCTGAAGTCGTTAGGGTGAAGGCCCTTCTCTTCCTTACTGGTGATTGTGGGTTCACACTACATTTCTGCATAAATCTCTCTGACTGGAGAACAGTAGTCCCAGGAGTGAACCCCAAGTTAGCCAGCATTGCGAGTCTTGGTTCTACCTCTGTAGGTAGAACTGCCTAGTCTTCAGCCTGGTCTCTATTAATGTCTGTAGTCAGTGCAGCTAACAGCCAGACCACAGATCCTAGTGCATTCTCTTGCCCTCAGACCTCACTAGTAGCTTGTGCTTGCAGCCTTCCTTGATAACTGTATCTTTCAGATTGTGGAGAAGCAGCAGCAGAAAATGGATCAGTTGCACTCACAAGTACAGGTGAGCGAGAATCTAGGGGACATGGTGGGCAGGACTTAATATGGAAATTCTAGAATTCAGCCAGTCTTTTCTTCTGCTCTCTGCCATGCAGTTTTCTCAGTGTTAGGGGCACAAGAAGAATGTTAGAAGGTCAAACAGGATAGGAGGTGTTTGCCTGTTTGTTTAATTTGCCATAGGATACCTGTGCTTACCAGAGACAGAGAGAGAAAGCACCCCCTCCAGAGGGGATGGCTACTCCACAAACGCTTCTCCATTCTCTTCTTGGGATTTTGGACATGCATGTCTACAGTAGGGGTAGGCTGGGAAGGAGGAGGAGATGTGTACTGGAGAGCTTTTGGGCCACCCGGGATCTGCTGCTGAGAGCTTTTCTCCCACACATGTGCCTGGTATGTTTTTCAAGCAGGAACTCAAAACTCTGACATCAGCCATATGGGAACCAGCCGCCTTATCCGGGCCATCAGCTGGCCCCAGGATAGGAGTTTTATCATAGTATTGTGAGAGCAATGTTCACATTACCTTGGGGAAGCACAGAGGCCTCAGGGGCAGTGGGGGAGGTCAAGGAAAGGTTTCAGGGCCCTAAAGGATGAGGTAAAATTAGCCAGGCAAAGAAGAACTGGGTAGGATGGTATTGGAATTCCAGAAAGGAGAATCGCACCAATAGGAACATGGCATGAAGCAGCATGGCCTAAATGGGAAACTACAATATTAATGAAAGCAGTTTGATGTTAACAAAGTGTTTAGTTTAAGGTGATAAGAGCTGGGGGTTCCAGGCTGTGGGAGGGCTTTATTCAACTAAGTTAGCTTTTATTCCTTAGGACATGGAACTCTGTCACAGCTTTTTATTGGGGTGTGGTGTAGTCTGACTTGCAACTCAGGGCTGAGTGTGGAAGGGAAGCAAGCAGCTTAGAGAGAGGCAAGGCCTGGGGGCTTATTGCAGAAATTCAAGTGAGAGTTGATCAGGGAACTGGCCTAGGGCAGCATAGCACAGAGAGATTGAGGTGACACATTTAGTTGACTTCTGGGAGGCAGTCGAAAGGAATCAGTAACTGACAAGATGTAGGAGTTGAAAAATAGGGAGGAATCAAAGATGCTCCTTGTTTCTAATTCGGGCCCAAGTGGGAGTGTCCTTAATTGGGTTCTCCAAGAAGATCTGGGTAAATTAGGTTCACTCAGTTCCCTTTGGCTTCGAAAAGGGTTTTACACCAAAACATGAAATGCGCTCACTCTGAGGAATAGCTGAAGGCTACTCTCCTGCCTTTGCCATTATGTGGGTGAAACTGTTTAATTCACCTAATAAAAAATGAGAAATTTTCCTTTTAAATTTTGTTCTTTTTTAAAATTTTTTAAAATTTTTAATTATTTTATTACATTTACAGTATATAACATTTCTTTTTCCAGCACGATTACCATGCATTTCAGTCAAGACATAGACATTACTATACATATCAGCAGCAGCAAATAGCTTTTCATTGTTTTCAGATTATTAATGATTATTTTATTTTTTAAACATTTGCTTGCTATACATCATTTAGCTTGTGAAGAGAATTTAACATGAAATACTTCTCAGGCCAGTCCAGTTGAGAATACTATACATGTTATCATTAATAGATCATAAACCATTTCTGTGTCCCACAAATGTCATGCCTCTCTATTTTTTCTTCTGATTTTCTTCTCTATGCTCTTCCCTTCTCTCTCCCCACCCCTGTTCCACACTGTCTTCAGCGTCCATAGCTATTTTCACTGCTGTTATGCCCTCCAATATTTCAGTCTCTACCATAAAGTGCAGATAGTCGATATATATTAAGTGGGTACATACAGTATCTTTCTTCCATAGCCTGGCTTGCATCACTTAGTAAATCTTCCATATTTGACCACTTTCTACCAGATGCCAGGGTCTTGGTTTTTTATGGCTGAATAGCATTTCATAGAGTATATGTGCCACACTTTAAAAAAAAAAAAGTTATTTCTTTTTAAAATAGTTTATTTAATTTTATTTATCATTATTATTTTTATTTTTAATTTGACCAGAGACAGACAGAGCTGGGGAGGGGGGTGGGATTTGAAAGCAAACCACTAGGTCCGGGACTCAATCCACGGTCAGCCATGTAGGAATCCAGCACCTTCACTACCATGTCACCTGCTGGCCCCATGTGCCACAGTTTTTCAAACCATTCATCTGTTTGTAGACATTTGGATTGGTCCCCTGTCTTAGCAATCACGAATAATGCTGCAAATTAACCTTGATGTGCAAGCGCCTTTCCGACTGAGTGTTCGCCTGTCCTTTGGGTGCAAACCCAGCAGCAGGATTGCTGGATCAAATGGTAGTTCTATTTGTCGATCTCTGAGGAACCTCCATATTGTTCTCCACTGTGGCTAGACCAGTGTACATTCCCACCAGCATTGTAGGAAAGTTCCCCTTTCACCACTGCCCTGCCAACACTTACCATTTTTTGTATTTTTAGTCTTCACCATTCTGACAGGGGTTAGGTGGTATCGTTGTGGTTTTAATCTGCATCTCCCTTATGATGACAGAGTATTTTCTCATATGCTTTTTGGCTGTTTGTGTGTCTTCCTTAGATTTTTGTTCAGCTCATTTTCCCGTCTTTTAATTGGGTTAATAATTTTTTTTCGGGTAAGCTGCTTGAGTTCCATGTGTACTCTGCTTATTAGTCCCTTATCTGAGGGACTAATAGTTTACAAAAATATTCTCCCACTCCACGGGTTGTTGATTCACCCTAATTTCTGTGCTGTTGTATGCTCCCATATCCCTTTCATCTCTGTTAAAAGCAGTCAGTACACGGTATTGTCGAGGGCATTTAACCATTATCTCCTCAAAGACTTTGGTGGTCTCTTCAGTATCTTCAGTGTCTGTCATAGTAAATACTGAATAAATACTGAACTCAACCAAATGGCACATTCCCTGCACTCAAAAAGTTAAGTTTGGGGCCAGCAGGTGGTGTAATAGTTACTCACCGGACTTCCACATGGTCGACTGTCCTGAACCCTGTGGCTTAAAACACATCAGGCACGTGTGCGTGCATACCCAAAATTCCAAGAGGAGAATAGAGGAGAAAGGATTGTGGCATGGCCACCCCCCTGGGGGGGAGGGGGGATTTCTTGCTTTCTGTTTCTCTGACTCTCCAGGGAGTACATATGCAAAAATCCCTCAAAAAAGAAAAAAAAAGAAAGTTCAAGTGGAGGGGAGACACACATGCACAGCCAGCCAGAATATTGAACAGATGTACTCATGGCCACGATAGAGACATGAGTGCAGGGTGGGGGCCAGCAGGAGGTATAGTGATTAAGGCACTGGACTCCCACATGGCCAACCGTGGTTTAAGTCCTGGACCTGGCAGCTTGAAACTCAAACTGGGCGCATGTGCATGTGTTCCCAAAATCCCAAGAGGGAAATGGAGGTGAAGGGATTGTGGTGTGGCCATCCCCCTGGGTGGTTTCTCACTCTGTCTCTGTCTCTGGCAAGCACACATGCCCTATAACAAAACTCTAAAAAAAAAAAAAAAAGTGTGTAAGGGTGAAATGAGGCTCTGACTTACAGATTGAGGGCTCAAATGGGCCTCAGAGGTGTTCTGGGGTGACAGGCAGAGTGGCAGGCAGAATAGAGGAGCAGTGTGAGCAGAGGCATGGAAGCTGGAGCTCTCAGGGAGGAAGGCCAGTCATCCAGGGTGGCAGAGTGGAGGCTGTGGAGGGTGGAAAGAGACACAGCTGGGGATGTAGGCAGACCTGGAATGCCCTGCTGCAAAATGGGCCTTGGTTGGGTACGTGGTCAGGGGCTATAGAAGGGTTTAAATGGACAGTCACAGGTCAGTGCTGCTCTAAACACAGTCTAAGGGTAGGGTAGGATCACTATATAGCCCAGCCTCGGATGGTCTGGGCTGAGCCAGACTTGTTACCTCCTGGTGTGTTCTCCCACAATGCCTTGCCATGGGATTCAGAACCTAGAGCAAGAAGTGGCTCAAGAAGAAGGAACAAGCCAGGCCCTGAGAGAGGAGGCCCAGCGGAGAGAGCTGGCGCTGCAGCAGCTTCGCACAGCCGTGAAGGAGGTGAGCAGCATCAGCCAGGCCTCTTGGTCCTGCCTCCACAAACACAAACCTGATTTCTCTGTATGCCCTCCCCATTACTCCCTCCAGAAGAGTCCTTGCAGAGGCCCCTACTGAGCCTTCTGGGTAGAGGAATGGGAAGATAATTTGCATCATTCTTTATATTAAAGGCTCTAGTCCTGTCTTAGAGTGGCCACAATGACCCAGACATGATTTTCGGAGGTGGGGAATCATTCTCTTCCTTTGTCTTCCTGCAGCCATAAATTAGTGGAGGGGGAGGGAGGATTCAAGACCTCATACAGTAAACAGAGCTGTCAACAGGGGGTGGCCAAGTGAGCTAGGATCCTCACGGGGCCTGTGTGGGTGCAGGGCTGGGACTGAAGGAGGGACTCCATTCAGAGCCTTGAAAACAGAACAGAAGTAGGGAGACAGTGGGCTGGGCTGTCAGGTGGGGAGGCAGGCACTCACGAAGAGCTGGGCCCTGTTGTGAAGCTTAACCCCACTGAGGGGAGGATTTGAGAAGGCAGGACACGTTCCAGCTGGGGCTCTCCAGCCCCCCACCCAGTGGCCACTGGCTGCTGTATTGTCCTCTTCGCCTCCTTTATTCCTCTGACACACTGTGATCGGGCTGGCTGGTAGCCACTTTTGTCAGGGTGGCAGGGAAAGATTGAAACCAGTGTCTCCTCAGATTTCACAGTTTACATTAAGCCTTCTCTAATAGCCTGGCTAACAGAGTTGGCTGAGGGACCGGCTTCAGATAAAGTTCCGAGGAGCGTCTTTGGTTCCTGAGCAGAAACCTAAAGGCTGCTGACTCAGAACCTGCTGGGGAGCAGCTTCCTCCCCAGCACTGGATGCCTGTGGGCTCACCCTTCCCGCAGGAGGAACCAGGCCTGCTACTGGTCAGAGGAGTGCTAAGCCTGTTGGCAGCAGTAGGGGTGGGAGGGTTACATCACCTGTGACTCCCACCCTCCCCTCTGCACCTGTACGCCCACGCCCATGCACTCATGCACAGGTACTTTGCCTCCTCCTGGGCCTGGAATAATGAGCTTCCTCACCTCTACTCAGCTGTCGGTGCAAAACCAGGACCTGATTGAGAAGAATCTGACGCTCCAGGAACACCTGCGCCAGGCCTCGCCAGGACCCCCGTCCTCACCAGAGACAGCCCAGTTGGCATTTGAGCTGCACCAGGAGTTGGCCAGTTGCCTTCAAGATCTGCAGGCTGTCTGTAGCATTGTGACCCAGAGGGCTCAGGGCCACGACCCCAATCTCTCTCTGCTCTTAGGCATCCACTGTGAGTCTGCAGACCAGTCTGGGATCTACAAGAGAGGGGCTTCATTGTCTCAGCCTGTCCACCTTTCCCATCCTTGAACAGGGTCCATGGGCCTGGTCACTGCCCTCTGGGAGTTTCTGTGTTTTGCAAAGTATAGGTGTTTGATAAATCTGTTTCTGAAGCATGCATCCTTAAGGGGGATACCTACATGCAAGGCCAAAGTGGGCCTTAGGCAGCGGGTGGTCAGCCCACCTTGCTAGCTGCTTTATAAATAGTGCTTCTGTGCCCCGAGACTGTGGACCCTAAGGTACTGCCTACCCATATCGTCCCCTTCACATGAAAGTGCCTCCCTACTGACATTCTCTTGAAATGTTCTCTCCAGCTACACAGCACCCAGGGACTCAGCTAGATTTACAGAAGCCAGATGTGATCAGGAGGAAACTGGAAGATGTTCAGCAGCTGCGCCGGGACATCGAGGACTTAAGGACCACCATGTCAGACCGATATGCCCAGGACATGGGAGAAAACTGTGTCACACAGTAAGGAATGCTGAGGGTAGGACAGGCTGCATTTCCCCAGGGAGGCTCTGGGCTGCCGGAGTCTAGCCCAGCAGGTTCCTGTGCTGACAGTCTCTGGCTCCTGTCTGCTTGTCTGCTGCTATCCCAGAGAGAGGAGTGGGAGGGGAGGGGAGAGCCAGTACCTGGGGGCTCAGGGCTGAGTAGGGAGCCAGGCCTGCCCTGGCCCACACTGGCTCTGCCATGTGAGATGATGTTTGCTGTACCTAGTCCACCGTTCCACGGTGAGTTACTAATTAACTTCTACAGGTACAGCCCTTCAGTCCTCACAAACTGTCCCATCCGAGGCAAATAGGCCGCTCACCTCCCTTCTCTAGCCTCTGGGATGTATCCACATTCATTCGTGCTCTATACCTTGGTCCTGCTGGTGTCCAAAGTTCAGCAAAGGGGCCCGGAAAGGCCAAGTACCAATAACACTCGCCGTTTGAGATTTCTCAGGCCCTGTGTACCAGCCTTCTGGCTTTCTGGATTTTCTCGGGCCAGGTCCCACTGCTTCTTTCTCAGGGCTCTTGTTCTTGTAGAAGCCTCAGGGTTCATTAGCAAAGTACCCACTAGGTTTAGGGACATAGGGGTTACAGATGCAGCTCCATACTCTGCCTGCCATTCCGCACGCCAGCTGCCTTGTGCCCGGTGCCCCAGCTGTATGATTAGCAGTCCCTTTCTTTATTCTCAGGCCTTTCAGGTAGTCCTTTTCTTGGGCTGTGAGTAAATTCCTCCATGGTTCTGGGCTTGGGCAAAATTTTCCCTCGGAAGGCAGCTGGTAACTCTCAAGCTGCTGTCCCTTCCCTCAGTGTTGGGGCCTCTGCCCTCTGGTCCTTCTTACCTCCTGGTTTAAGGGAGCATCCGCTCCCTGTTTGTACCTGGTTGATGGGGCTCCTGCAGACCTCGGAGCTGTGGGGACGGGAGGACGCTAAGCAGCCCCTCCAAGATTGTTGCGCAGTATTGTAGATGTCACTCCTGGGCCTGAATGAAGCTCCTTCATAAATGTTTTTACAAGTTTGTGTTTTATTTATAGAGTGACTTATCCCTTCCATTCAGAGCAGCCCCACCCAGCTATCCTCTCAGCCTGCGGACTCCAGCTTCCTAAAAGCAGAGCTCCACCCTGTGCTGGGAGCCTAGTCACCACGTTCACGGGTATTTTCTTATTAAAGTTTATAAGCAGTTATTTATATGAATCTTTGTTATGTCAACTGGTTTGTATTGCCTATTTTGATTACGAAATAAAATATTTAATAGACTCTTAAGTTTTCCATAGGCTTCTCTCACTACTGTCCCCCCAACTCCCCCAGTGTTCAGCAAGGTCTAAGTACTTAGCCAAGTTCCCCAGGCAGCTACAAGGAGGGGCTTTGCAGGTCAGCGTACTTCCGCTTCTCCATCCTAGGAGGGCAGATTAGATCTCTGCCCACACTGCTTTCTGTCGGGCAGAGCTGCCCTGAGTCAGAGCATGTTTTTAACTGGGAAGTTTCAGGAGGAAGAGAAGTGTCTGCCTCTTGGTTGCTCTGAGGAAGTGGCTTCCCCAGAGCAAAGCAGGACACTCTTTATCAGAGGTAGAGTTGTCTGGCTTTTTACCCAGTAACTCTTTCCAAAACGGGGGCCGTTGCTGGAGTCCGCTCCCGATGAATCCCCTGAATTCTTGCTGGGGTCATAGCAGACATGGGGCATCATTTGAAGCATGGAGTTGGGACTGAGCTGGGGCCAGCAGTGGGTCGTCAGCCAGGGCCAGCTGGAGCCAGCTGCAAGTCCTGCCCCAGGCCCAGCTCACGCCTGGCAGGGCTATCAGCCTCTCACCTTGGCCTCCATCTGGCTCCTTAAGGGTGTGGCCCCTGCTTCCTGCCACTGCCCTTCCTTGTCTAAACCTGCTGTGAGTGGAGAGGAGCGGGGGCAGCCCCCGCGGGCGCCCCGGTTACTGATGTGTGGGGTCCCTTAGATCCGGGTTTGGTTACTATGGATTTGAAAACACACGCACACAAGCTGCGCTGAGTTATCCTGGCACCTCCTCGCGTGCCAGCTAGGGGGTGGCTAGTTGTGGCCCCAAACCTGGGTGAGGCTGGAGAGGAGGTCGTTGCCCCTCGCCCCTGCCCTGGGCCTCTCCTGCCATCCGTTCCCTCCCTAGCCTCACACTGGGAGCCCAGACG